GCGAAATCCTTTAAGTTTACATAGTTTTATCATATCCACGCTTAAAATGAGGCTGACATATATGAAAAAGGCTGCGCTTTGTTTATGTTAAGTCTTTCTTTGAATCTACGACCAAAGAAGAAAGGAAGAACACTACATAAGAATACTTTGCAAACTCGAACTCATATTATATGTTTTTAAGGTCAGAGTTACAGTCATCATTGTAAAGAATATATATAGGATTTCTAATAGTTTCCTCAGTAATAACAAATATATTTCACTCGTGTGGCTAATATTTTGGAATCTTTCACGAGTGCGAAGCACAATATATTTGTTATTACTGAAGACACTATTAAATATTCTGTTTACATTTTCATCGCAAAAATAAACCAAAACAATGGCAAACTTACGATAACTATAAAATGGGTAAGTTGACCATACTTTTTACAGACATTACTCACTCATTATACAACGATGTTGTGCGCGGCAGAAAATAGTCCATTTTATTAAAAATCAGTAAAAATATACAGACTCAAAAATAAATCATATTGAATGTTTATTTGTGTTTGGACATGGATTCATGTAATTTATTGATGTCACTTATACACAATAAAATGGTTTAAATGTTAACTGAAAAAATAAAAAAAAACAATGTTTGATAAATTCTTCCGCGCATGAAAAAATAGTGCGCCATCCTAGTCGCTGTCACTATTAATGATACGGATTCTTTTAAAATGCTTTGGTCCACACTCAAGACTCTCAGAACGGGGATGGGTTTGACCACTGATAACATAGCTAGAGTTACTGGCTTGCATCGTCTGCTGACTGCCATGAAAATGGAAATTTACAGTGGAGTTGAAGGTTGTGTTCCCAGTGAACAAACCCCCGACAGATTTGTATCGGGCTCTCTTATAGGTTAATCCTCAAAGTGAAAATATCAAAAAAGTGATATTTTTCACTAGTGAAAAATATCACTTTTATCAGTTTGAGATATCTCTATAGTTCACTGCTAAAAATGTAATACATCGTCGTTATTACTGTACTTGTTATGCATGGGTACAGAAACCTGTGAGGTGAACGAGTATGAGTTGATAACCTCACATGCATCACACGCGATCTATGTATTCAAAAGCACACACTCACATATATACTTGAATGACGGCAACTGAGATAACAAACATAACGTATATAATTTCAATATCATTGTTACACAGTCGTTGTTAAAGCATCACTGATGTTATCTGGAGGTCTCACGTTCGATAGCAGCATCAGCACCATTATACTTACTGAAACACCTTTTTATAAAATCATCCTAGTAACGATAGTTGATTGATACAATTATTCAAATGTGCCGAAGCTATTACTGGCTAAAATCCATCTATTATCCCAGGTCCGATTCGGTTTATATTGTTTAAAGTCCTTTCAACGGCAAGGGTCACTTATAGTCGACATCCCGATGTATGTAATATGAATGAATACTTTCGTGCGTTTGTTTTTAGGGAGCTGTGATATGTTTGTAAAAGCTTCCCAGTGATAAAGTTTAAATGAAGCGGCCTTTATAGTTTTGCCTTACTGAAGTCAACTGTTCAAGGCCTCAAGAACCAGGACGACCAACCCTGTCACATTAAAATGACAACGAATGCAAACGAGTCGTTACTTCAAATGCTGAATGGTTTACAAGGCGTAGAAACTAAAATTTTAAAGACTCTGGGCTCTACCTTCTACAATATTTGTCACTGGAAGTTCATACCTGGTGGCAAGGATTTACCTTGATTAGGCAGTGTGCCAAGTATCAATGCATAATTTTTCAGTCATATCAGCAGGAATGGTGATACAAAATATACCCCCCAGTAATTTCAGTGCCTCTAACCCCGCGCAACAGGATGTGCTGTATACCGTCAGTAGTGTATTATTGATAACTTAATTAATATATATTTCATAACATTGCGCTAACACATAAAGAAGCACTACGCTGTACGTCTTTTTCCTGAAAAGGTAGGCATAATCTACATTTTGGTGTTGAAATTGCATTTGTGAAAATCACTTAAATATTAATATCGAGTTTCAACTATCTTTCTAATGATTGCTATGCTTATTTTCCTATCTTTGGATCATGCATAGATGTAAGTCAGCTAGTAAACCGTCAGTTATTACCAGCACTCTTGGAGTGAAGTACATATGCATGTCTCCAGGTCGACACCTTCATCTTTAATTTATCTATATCTTTAAGGGCGTCAACATGGATAGACTAAACATTTGAATACTTCACAGCCTGAATTAACATCATCAAAGAACTTTGCTAATTAATTGTTAATGCGTTTCCGATAAACGACACTATTACTGAGATGAAACCATTACAGTTTTCCAATAGATAATTTGAGTGCTAGTGGTAGTTGGTAGGTCGAGCATCAGGCATTTGTCACAACAAATGAAAATCCAAGGTGTTTAGTCTGAGTCCTCTCCGGGAAGGTTTGTATTTCTCTAGAAAATATCTGTTGCTAAAAATAGCCTATTATGCGATGGGTTTCTCGCATGTTGTTCATAAAGTGACCAACTGCATGGAGATTCCGCTCAAGAATTACTATATGTCAAGATATTGTTCAACTACAATATATGTTTCCATCAATATTGCCATGTAAGAACCTAAAAGAATACCACACGATATGGGTTCAATACACAACACTGCCAAAGAGGATATAAATACACTCTAGAATAGGACCCTGATAAATATTTTGGAAACGTATACCAGATCTACACAGAAATAGACCTCTGATTAATGCTTTGACTAAGACAATGTTTTTACACATATACCGTAAATACTGTAAATATAATAATGCCTTGCCTGACTTATATGAACTAATTGACACTTGCCTCCCCCAACGCCAAGGTAACACAAGACTGAATCAATAGTGCCTCAACGTCATAGAGAAAGCTAACGAACCCTCTTAGCGCCATAAGGCTCGCTTACCCTTACAAGGCCTCATTACTTGAATAATTCGTACATAAAAACCAAACACTGACATTGGTGTGTAATTATCGTCATACAGACAGCTAAACCTTAGATCCTTCGACAATGCTGGTTAATAAGCATGATGATTTCAATTTTCCTGTTATAAATTTTCCATTTTCGGAGAGCAACATTCCTGCATTCCTAACCTATATTATATACATTTCGCAGTTGATTCGTTACACGAAGGCTTTGTTCCTTATATCACGATTTTTTGCAAGGTGCAGTCTGACAGACAAATTCCCAACACGGCTTTCAAGAGATGCAGGTTGATGAAAAGCATGTGCAAATGTTAAGGTCGTCTTTGATCTCATACATAAACATTCTATTTCTTCTTGCAATATAAAGCTGAACGTATTCGAAAATCTTTGTATGCATTTTGGTCCCATTTGTATATCTTGTTCTACTTTGAGAATTTGAATTACTTATTTGAATCTACCAAGATTTATATGATGGATGTCTCTTTTTAGTTTTTCATGAGTCCCCGTGTAAACATTTATTTTGTTCTTATTTTACCCGTTGGCTTTTCGTGTTGTTTAAGCGATCGCTCAACGATAACACCATACAGACAAATGCACCCTGTCCGACAGCATAATAAATACAAGATAACTTTGCAGGTCACAGGTCATCTTACGACAACAACATGAAGACAAATGAACTCTAACCTCTGTAAGGCCTCGATCAACAACAAAACAATCTATCTGACACAAGACCTCACACAACGATAACGTCACACAGACAAATGAACCTTTCCGAAAAAAATGGCTGTACTCAGCAGTAATAAATAAAACGCAAACAGCAAGATAATTATTGTTTGTAATGTTACCTCCCCTTTGTTATTACCAACAATCATTTCATTACATGATTGTTTATGAATATCATTAAAAGGGATGTAATGTCTGTGAAGAGACAGTCACATATCTCATGTAGCCTCATACTATTTACAGACATGCATTTTACTGCGCATTATCTTCCTATACACATTGTAGAAAAGGATGGGCCAATTTCTGGATAAAACATGTGTTTGATTATTACATCAATTGCTATGGTAACGTTATCAAAAGTTTTTAAAAGTGTTTTTAAAAGTAATTCAAACCTCTATAGGACAAAATAATCAAATAAGAATTGATTTTTTTGTTAGGTTTACGTCTTAAACTTAGAAATAATTTTATACTAATGTGTGCATAGTTAGAACAGAATAAATTATTTACAGTCTCGATAGACACACAAACCACATGTATATTGATCTGGTTTTCGTAGAAAACCTTATGTACTTTGTGAGTAGAAGATACTGTATTTTCTCTATTTTCTTTTATATTTCACTCCATAAACCTTATTTGGTACCCCATTGGAAATTATTACATATTCCCTTGTGCGAAAATAAGAAAACTGAATTATTTTAATATACAGCAACCTATTTATTATTATTATCATTGCACTGAAAAGGTCAACACTTCAAACATTGTTTGCGATCGTATGATGACACATGGCCACAAAAAGTACATGCAAGTACTGGAAACTAATATATTTTCATTTTTGTAGGGAACATTTTCAGTATCCATGAATGCACATAATGCTAGAAAACATAATTCATTTAAGAGGTTTCTATTATTTCTTGACTGACGTAAACAGATCGTAGGTAACAATACGAAAGAATCATACGAAATAATACAAAGACGGAAGATGTTATTGTATCTTTAAGAGATGGAAAAAGACAACTTTGTATTCTACTGTCTATATAGAAGACAGGTTTCGGTATTTTTAACAGTGAACAAAACTACCTTTCTGATTGATCAGTAATATAGTAATATTTACACCTACAACATAAGCTGTTTGTGAAAGTCGTCACAAAAAGTCAATTTGCATTTAAATAACATTAAACATTTTGGCATTTCGTATTATGATAAATCTCTGGATTTATTCATTAATAAAAATTGAAAATATATTTGTTGATTTGAAAAATGATATTTTGGAATCATTTTCTAATCAAACTTCTGTAAAATTATCTACTTACTTGTTTCCTGGAACTGGTGTTTTTCTTAACACGGTATTGACCGTTTTCTTTATATTTTCCACCGGGCGTTTTAGAAATGTTGGTGCTGAACAGTATCCGTGCTATTAAACCATACAAACATGCTGCAATGATGAGGGGCAACACGTAAAATGCGATGAGATCCGTCATGTAATAAAACAAATACTGATTCCTTTTAAGGCGGTATGTACACTGTTCCTTCCCAGAGTTTGGGTCCTTTCTTGTCATTGTTAAACCAAGCCAAGGTGCAGTATACAGAAGAGTGAATATCCAAATAGCAGCAGTAATCTTCATTGCCCTTTTCACAGTGCACATTCTCTGCGCCTTCATGGGATGACATATTGCAATATACCTTTCTACGGTGAAAGCAGTCATGGACAGAGCTGAAGCATCAACTCCAAGATATTGTAAAAAGACAAGTATAGAACACATAGCATGGCCCCAGGGCCACTCATTTACTTGGTAAAATGGTTCTGGTACTGCTGGAAGTGTGGCTGAAAGAAGAACTATACAGTCGGCCACTGATAAACTAAGTAGATAACAGTTGGTAGGGGTGTGCATGCTCTTCGTCCGACATACTACAAGAACAACCAAAATATTTCCAAGAAATCCTACAATGAATATGACGATAGCTATAGTAACAGATACGGCTTTGAAAAGAAGAGTATAATTTGTGGTATTTGGTTGTTGGGATATACTACTCACGTTAGCTATCCCGAACAAGATCGATGTATTTTCCATAGTTATGAAGGTGTCAACACTTCCAGATTCCAGGGAGGCACATGTGGAATAATTATCATTAAGAACCGAGTCGTTTAATTCGGAATTTGGCATGCCAACTTAAATTCTTGTTTTGTCGAACTTTCTGTGAGTACCCTATTTTGTAATTAATTAGAGACGTCTTGATAAATGATGATTTAAAAACAGATGACGGTGAAACACATGTTTTCAAACCGAAAACTGGTTTATCTCACAGTTAAATAAATTACTATCAACCACCAGGATGTTCCGTCAAAGTAATTTTTTTCAATTAAAATCCTATTGGAAAAGAAATCCTGCCGATTAAACAAAACCCTTACTTAATCAGATTGCTGTTCCAATCAAATTCATTCAAACGACCTGGTGTTGAAACAGAATCAATCGGGTGCTGCTATCACTAACCACGAACGTCTGATCCTCTGTAAACTCTGTCACACTAATGCCAGGAGTGCGAGGAAGGTCCGTGATCACGCTACGCCTGTCATGCTCATACAACAGGCTTGGTTGTCATGCGAATCATGAATGACGCCACTTCAATAGAAGGAACGACAATCATGATATATACGTGCTTCACTACATCAAACTATTGCTAGTTTATATTCTCAATGAATCGGATTCCTTTTCATGAGAACATCGAAACCTTGATTTGTGTTACATGTCATAAATATCGAGGATTAAGCTACAAAAGGGGAAAAAGACCACTCAATATTTATACTCCCGCTCCTTTGCTCTTACTACAATACACCACTGCCAATGGCGATTGTTCCATGATTTATGACTAGAACCGTACAACAAAAAGTAAGCATTATACATGATCATGTTTTATATCTTCATCTTGAACCATAGATGAACCATCTATATATCACTACATGAATAATTGCTTAATGGAACCATTTCTGATTGGTATGTGGTCGGAGCGAAATTCTGTCATAGTGTGCGCTGATATTTTAACAGGGACATGTTATATGGACTCGTTTTCATGCTAATCCCTAACATTATACCTTGATTTACAGTAATGATAATAGAACACATACATCATTTCAATAACAAATGTTTCGTCCTTTTTGTGCTTTCTCATAACCAAGAAAATGTAGCATAGGCATTCAAGCTTTCACAACATACAACTTTTATGAAATACAGTTATTAAATACCATTCATTAGTTAACTAATTTACACACATAAACATATCCTTTGTAATACGATAAATATATAGCTGTATAACATCTGTTACAATATTCTAATTTTGTATGTTTCCGTCTTCCTTATTAGCTTTTAAACATTGTCTGCACTCGAATACTTGGATGTTGCTACCTTTTAATATGTAAAGTTTACATACATGTGTTTTTCGGTGTAAAATCGATGTTTTTTTTTTAACATCAGGACTTATCTGCGTAATATTTCCCTATCAAGCCTACAATAATTTTCACTCCAGAAACAAACAAAACAAAGAATACAAATAAAACCATTTTATTTTATTTTTATATTTTCTGCCGATTACTCCATATTCGTTTTCATGTTTTCTTTTCTCGAAAGTCCATAATTATATGGTTCGGGTCGATATTCTCAAAGATGGTTCTGTAAAGGAAGTCGATTTTCTGTGACAGGTTAGGATTATTTTGCATGTGATGCAAAATAAAGTAAAAATAGAAAAGGAAAATGTTTACGTGGTATGCCGTGATTAATGCCTTTAGCTATCACAGACTGCAAGATATGCAAACAAAACATATCCCAAGCGAAAAATTAATTTCAACAGAAGAAGCCCTCGTGGACCCTGAGACAAGCTAAACAGAATGTAAGCTAGTAAGACCATAGATATGCTGGTAGATACTGATGCTACCGATGAACAAACGACTTAAGACTATATGTGATATTTCTGGGGAGCCGCTGCTTTTACTCAACAAAATGTATTTTGGATATTGCGAGTCGGATATAACATGGTATTTTATAGCTCGTGTCGCGTAGTAAGACCATTACGAAAATTGCCCACAAGCGAAGAGCTCGTTTCAGGTTAGTAATTCTAAGTGAAGTTGGGTCCTTGGGTCTGTGAGCAATTCGTATGAGGTTCATGAGTCTATGAGCTGTTCGTGTGATATTCATAAGCGGTTCCAACGCATGAGGTCTGTGAATCGTTCGTGTGAAATCCCTGTGTTGTTTGAAATTGGGAATTTTTATCCCCCATGAAACGCGTTTGCAGAGGATATTAATTTGGGATCCGTGCGTGCGGACGTGCGTGCGTCCATACGAGGGTTTTCCGTGCTATAACTTCAAAATCGTTCAACACAGCTTCAGGTGACTTGCTGTATATATTAAGTCAATATCCCAGTTGTGCATTTTGCTATTGACGGCAATTTATTTATATCTTTTTTTGTTACGACGGAAACATATTTTAGAAAAACCCACAAAATTAATTTTAACTTTCCTTTCCGAGCTACAATTTCGATATAATTTCTCTCAAATCCACAAAACTTTCTGTGTATATTAGGTAAGTGTCCTATTTGTGTCTTTTATGGAGGACATTTTATTATTTATCTTTTTTCTGTTCCCGTCGATTTTTTTTATTTATTGTGACTTCTTGTATTACTGGAGAGCTTTTAGAGTGTTGCATAAATTTGTTCATTGACAATACCAAGTTCTATTAAAATATCAACAATCAAACACACAGGATCTACATCAAGATATCAACTCTTACTAAATGATTGATATATAAAATATGTATATGATTAAGGAAGTAAGAACGACAGTACAGACAAGTGCATTGTCAAGTTTTCAAAGCGATATGCCCCTATATCAAGACACACATATTACAAAAATTACATCAGATACATATATCATAAACAAAGTTATAAATCTAAATCGAAAACGGTAGTGTAAATTAAGGTGTCGTAATAATCCCTTCGACAGATGAACGTCTATCTGAATGTATATGTAGTTACAATAGACAGTGTTTTGATCAAAATCACCAGTTAAATGCACAAATATTTATATAAAAATACTATTTTGAACATAGTGAAATAGGCCCCGAGTTAATCAGCTCGCCCACAGAAAACTAACCCCACAGATCTTTTATATATTATGTTGAAGTTGAGGAGATGCAAGGAACTTTAATTGATAATTGACAAAAGAAGACGTTACATTTTGCACTAGTGCTTTCACTGTACTAGATCTTCAGATGATAGTAGCGGTATATCATTGAGTGACGTCACATGATGCTATACTGGTATGTATACATCATATTTGGGTTTGACACCAACAGCAGGGTGCGGGGGATAATGACACACTTTGCGACTCCTTGTCATCGTTACAGAACCGTTTTAGTTCTGTAATGAATGATTTTGGCTCGTGTTGTTATGTATCAAAGCTTCATAGCAACAAGTCGTTAATGCTGTGTCAAAGATTTCATTGACGCTCTCTCTGGTCATTGATTGTACAAAACTGGTATATGGAAATATCGTCAATGGGCTTTATGTCTTAGGTAGATGGTAAGCGAAGTGGTCACGCAATCATCTGGACGTCAAGGGTAGGATTCAACCTGCCCGACCACATGGGTATTCCCCGGGTGTTCAAGTTTCCTCCCACATTCAGACCCCATGTTTGCTTCAATCTGAACCATCAGTAGTAATTGAAAAATGTAATTAAAATGAAAATAAAAGTTCATTTTCGCATATAATAGGAATATAATATTTCAATAAATTATTTAGTTTATTAAATGATCTGCAGGTAGCAGTATTTTTGCCTGCAGATACATATGGTGTTAGAATATATAAAGAATATGTATTCCCTTCTGAAAAAAAAATTCACTGGTCGATCACTTGAGATTTCAATTTTCTGCCAAAGAATTATTTTCACTGGTAGGTTGATGACGACCTTGTACAGTAAATCGTCTATATTTAAGCACCATAAAACGACAAAGAGCTAGAGTTTGTCGTAAGACAATACCAGTTTGAACCTCAAGGTAGCTATAACATACCAAATCCAGCGATGATGAATCCAAGCAAAATTAATACAGAAACAATAAACTGAAAATAGAAGTCAGTATCAACTCTTTAGAAAAATATTTTATTCATGAAAAAATGTATAAAACTATTTACAAAGTGGGTTATATTTTTATTGTGAAGGATATATTTGAATATTTACACTTAAATTACTCACAATACATATAATGTAGCTGTAAAAACCAAACGTTAGGATATACAGGATCGGACAGAATCGGGTTATGTGCAGAGTTCGGGCACTTGATTGTTATCAAGGTAGTTATTTTGTTTTTTAAAGTGCTAAATTAGATTACAATTGTTTCATAGTAACCAATGACAGAAAAAATATGTATTTTTTAACATAACACGTAATGTGTCGCACAAGATCGAAAGACGATTTACAGGATAGGACAGAATCGGACGACAATTTACAGAATCGTGCGAGTCAGGTGCAGAATCGGGACATTATATCAATGTTGCTAAGATACAATGTAATTTCTCTAAAGGGACCTTATTATTAGAGGTTGGCTGCAGGATCGAGCGCCGAGTGACAAGATCGGAATTTTGTTTTCATCGTATTTTAGGCTTGATATTAAAATACATTCTGCATATCGCGTTAGTTATAAAAAAAATTACAGTTTGATAGCCATCAGCTACAATGATAAATTGGTGTTGTTCAAATAGCAATATATCACCGCATTGCCAAGGTATTTTTTGATAATTCATTTTTCCTTAAAACTGTTCAAAATATTTAACATATGATGACGGAATATACATGCAAAAGAATGTGGTAACAACATTTAAACGGCCCTTTTTTTACTCCGATTCAGAGTTCTCTTTTGCGCAACACTAAATTTACACTCCATTTCAAAACGTATGGTAGACAAAAAGAAAGAAATTCGCTTTTGAATTTTCACTAGT